GGGGGGGCCGCCGTTGGGGAAGGCCCGGCGCGGGGCGGGGAGGGATGCGTAGGGTACAAGCGCGCGCAGGATGCGGCGCGGCGGGGGCGCGTGCCGCGGCGGATACGTTTCGGGAGATCGGGGCTCACCTCATGGAACACGTGATCACCAAACCCAGATCGCGCCACGAGTTCCGCCAGCGCCGCGCCCGTCACCGGGGGCTGCTGTGGCTGGCGCCGCGGCGGTAACTGCTGCTGCTGCTGCTGCTGCTGCTGCTGCGGTGGTGGAAGCCGCTCCAGCTTCACAGCCGGGCTGTTACTGTGCTGTTGCAAGGGTAAATATAGTTGCTGCTGGTGCTGCTGGTTCTGCTGCTGATGCTGCTGCTGCTGCGTTTGGTGGTGCTGCTGGGGGAGATGCACCAGGGGAGTGGCCTTATGCTCGGGGACCTGCTGCTGCTGCTGTTGCTGCTGCTCCTGGTGGGAAAGCTGATGCTGCGCTTGATGCTGCTGCGGCTGCAGCTGCTGCTGCAGGTGCGCCTGATTCGGCCACTGAAGGTTCCGCTGCTGGTGGGCTGGGACCTGTTGGGTATGTAATGGGGTGCATGAGGGCAGCAGAAGGGTACGCAGAAGCGCCTGCGCAGGCGCCGCGCACGCCGTTGCTGCCGCGCCCACGCGAGTGCCGGCAAGTCCGCTGGGCGACGTACGGGCGGCCGCGCACCTGTACAGGCACCATATTCGGCACTGGAATCATTCCAGGGACCCCTCCTGGGACGGGAATCATCATTCCTGCGGGCGCCACAACAGCGAAAGTCAGCACTGATCTGCTCTCCAGGCCCTCCACGGCACGCTCTGCTGCCTGAGATCGCCATATTATCATCGCTGCACTCACCCCACATCACGGGTGAGGGGCTGGTCCACGCAAAAGCCTGGGGAGGCGTGCGAGCCTGCATGTGAAGCCCGGCAACCGTTCTCCGCCTAGTAGGTGGTTTAATGCATGCTTATGGTGCCAGCTCGTTCCTTCTGAGGCTAGCACGACGTGGACCGTGCCTGCAAAACCGGTGTGCAGGAATGCTGCGTGTGTGCACCTTCCTGAGCGACTGGTATGTGTGACAACTACGATGGCAAACTCGAACGCATCGAGCACAGGCGCGCAAACATGCCAAGGTGGAATTGAGCCGGCTGCTGCTGAAGTCGCCACCCGCACTGAGTGACTCAATGACAGCAGCGACCCCACAGCCGCCACGAACCCAGCGGCCCTGGCCATCTACCAGAGCGCGGCCAACATTAAAGTGTTAGATCACATCCCACGACATGCCTCGGGCTGGCCGCACCGGCGGCTGGACGGCGGCTGCGGCGCGAGCATCGGGAAGTTGTCACTAGCAGCGCGATTCAGAGTGACGCGTCTTCGTCGCGTGCCCTTGCCCTTGGGAGGCTGGCTGCCGGGGATTATTACACACATGTGAATGCGAACATGGCACCACGCACGTGCATGCGGCGATCAATGGGGCCAGGCGGTGCTCTGGCAGCAACCCAACTTTATCACCCGCAGAGTGCCACGCAACAGCTGGCAGGCGCGCGCGCCCGGCAAGCAGGGTTTGGCGCTGCAGGCCCCGTGGGGGCGATGAGCAGCGGCGCCGCGACACGGGACCTTCAGCGCGGCGTTTGCCGTGCGTGGCGCAACGGGCTGCACAAACAAGCGGCGCGGCTGGGCCCCGCAGTCCGTCACCGCTGCCCTGATTGGGTGCCGCCGCCCGCCGAGTGCGGCGGGCCCGGGCAGGACGCCGCGTCGCGCAGCGATCAGGGGCCGCCGCTGCCCCACTGAGGGTAGCTCGGCCCCGGCTGCTGGGGGTAGGCAGACGGGTACATGGGGGACGCGTAACCCGCGAGCGAAGGCGTGTACGCCCCGCCGCCGCCGCCGCCGCCGCCGCTGCTGCCGGCGCTTTCGAGGGGCGCGAACAGGTCGTGCCCGCCGCCAGGCTCCGCGAAGGCCGAGGCCGCCGCGCCCGCGGCGATCGCGTCGGCCAGGTGCGGCGCGGCGGGCGCGCCCGGGGGTGCGAGCGGCCCCGCGATGGGCGCGGTGGTGACGCCCCTGAGTTTATCGGTTGCGTAGTCGTGGTGTGGGGCAGTGTGGGGCAGTGAGGCAGAAATAGCAGGCACTGGCATCGAGACGAAAGGCAGCTTTCAAGCCGGCGTGTGCGGCCGCAAGCACGGCGCGTGTTGCTGGCCGCGCCAGGACTGCGTCTTTGACCAGAGCCGCCGCGGGGCGCGGTCCACCAGCATGTACACTCAGGTGGGGGCCGCCCACCTGAGGGCCTGAATCGCCTGGTGGCAGCCCTCCAGGATTGCCAGTTCCAGGGCCGTGGCTCTGTTGCTGAGGGTGCGGATGTTGGGGTCCACCCCCGCCGCCAGCAGCCACTCAACGACCTGATGCAGCAGACGGCGGTCGCGAGGCGTTTGGGGGGGGGGGGTGTCAGGCGCGTGCATGCTGGACCGTGTGAGTGGGGCGGGGGCGGACGGCGCAGCGAGGCGGGGAGCGAGCAGGCGCGCGGCGGCGCGAGAGCGCGCGCGCCGGCACGAAGCCAAAGGGCCATGGTCAAAACTGCCGCAGGCTGGCTGCGCCGGCTCGCATTGGATGCCGTGATGCATGGGGCTGGCCCGGCAGGGGGCACCAGGCCCGCCCCGGCCCCACCTTGACATGCCCGTGATGCGCCGCCTCGTGGAGCAGCGTCACCCTTCAGGAGAGGTGACGCGCGGGGGTGGGGGCACGGGGTGGGGCAGCGAGTGGCACGGCTACCGATGCAAGTGCTTCGAGCGCAACCGCGTCCCGCCTGGCGCTGGACAGCCTGTCCACGCGAGCATGTATGCACTTGCATGCACACACACATACACACACGCACACACACACACACACTCACAAACGCATGCACTTGCACACACACACACACACACACACACACACACACGCTGACATGCATGCACGCATGCATCCACATCCACATCCACATGCGCTTGCACTCACACACACACGCTAACATGCATGCATGCATCCACCTAACCCGCACGTGCACCACCCACACAACCGGCCAACACACGCACGCACACACACACACACACACGCACGTGCGTGCGCGCACACCCACCTGTCTAGCGTGTCGGCCCTCACATTGAGCCCACTCTCCACCAGCACTGCCAGGGCCGCCAGGTGGCCACCCTTGCATGCCAGGTGCCCCGCGCTTACCCGGTTCTGTGTATGTGTATGTTTGTGTGCGCGTGCGTGCGTGCGTGCACGCGCGCGCGCGCGCGCACGCGCGTGTGTGTGTGTGTGTGTGTGTGCGCGCGCGTGCGTGCGTGTGCATGCACACGTGCGTGCGTGTGTGCACGTCTGCGAGGAGAGGGGCATCACGGATCACGGGGCTTGCGAGGGCAATATGGGTTGCGGGTGCCACAGCATGCGTTGCTGTTGACGCTGGCCGCGCATGCGGCGATGTTAAATGCCAATGCGTTGTTTGTTGGCTGCGGTGGTGCATTGCCGTCCCTTGAAGGGAGCCCCACACTCAGCACTCCCACACCCACACATACACCCATGCCTATGCCCACGCACAAGCACATAGTCGCGTGCGCAGTCACATCCTAACGCACTGCCATCCTCAGCGCACACCCGCTCACACACACCCACGTACACCCTGCACGCGTCCAAGCGCACACGCACAACCCTGCGCGGCTGCGTTGGCCACTGCATGTGCAGCTGCGGAGTGCATGCATGTGCACTCACACACGCCAGCTCAGCAACCACGCCAATCCACCTCGAGCGTGTCTCCGAGGAAGGCGCCTGCCTCAATCAGCAACCGCAGCACCTGTGAGTGCCCCCCAGCCGCCGCCTGCACGCGGCGCCCGCAATTCGGGCAACATGGCGCACGAAGGTGGCGTGGACGATGCAGTCGGGCGGACGGCGGTTCAAGGAGCATCCCCGCAGCTTCTTGGTGTGCGTATTCCTCACCTGAAATGCCCCAGAACCCTTTCCCCTGCCCCTGCCTCCACCTGTGCCCCTGCGTATGCCTCTGCCTGTATGCCCCTCGGTCTACCTCCAAAAAATGCATCTGCCTCTGCCTCTGCCAGCATTCCCCCAGCGTCCGAGTGCACCCCTCCCCTCACCGCGAGAAGGGGGGTGTACCCCCGCGCGTCCCGGGCGCCCAGCGCCGCCCCCCGGTCGGGGTCACGGTTGCGTCCCCCCAGCAGCAGTTGCACGACCTGGTCCCAGGGCGGGGGGGGTGGGGAGAGGGGGGGGGGCGTCAGGGGCTCTGGGTTGCTGCAAATACCCTTGATCTATAAACTTGCTGCACGGGCACCTCTTGGGGGTGGCTTGGAGGGGGGGTGCCTTCCCCACTGTGCATGGCCCTGGCGCCTACCGCCAGCCCCCCACACCGTCGGAGCTGCGCCCGCGCGGGTGCCAGGCACTGTCAACTGCAGCTTGCGGGCGAAGACACCCTCTGGCGCGGGTGCGACAGGATATGCAACGCGCGCACACGCGCGCGTTCGCGTGCACGTGTGTATTCTCACCTCCAGGTGCCCCAGCTGCGCAGCGATCAGCAGCGGGGTGCGCCCCTCCTTATCCACCAGCCCGCTCGCGGCCCGCCGGTCCAGCAGTTCCCCCACCACCAGAGCGTGGCACTTCTCTGCGGGCCGTTCGGTGGGTCATGACGTGTTCCAATGTCACAATGTGTTTGACGTCGTCGTAAGGAAGGCACACAGGCCAGGCGGGTCGCTAGATCCCCGCAGCAGCCGGCGGGGGCGGCGGGGCCCCACCCGCGGCGGGGCGCGCCGGCGGCGCCGAGCGGCCGCCGTCTGCCGCGGCGGGGCCCCTCCGCGGCGGGCTTTGGGCCCGGGCGGGCGTGCGCCCCCGGCTTGGGAGTATGGCTGCTGCCTCCCGCTTCCGGATTTCGAAGCGCGGCATGCTAGCGGCCGACCTGCCGCGATATGCATGGCGGTACGGCCGTACTTCTGGTCGACCTCGTCCAGGTTGTACTGCTTTTGAGCCAGCACTCTGCATTTTTGCCCGAGGCATGCCCGATGGGGGCGGAGTTTTCTCGGTATTCGTTGGGCCCGCGTATCCGGATTTAGGGTGTAGGTTGGTTGGAGGGGTCATGATCGCGTCGATTGCCGGCAGAGGCTTGGAGGGCATAAGTGGCCGGCCACGCAGGTGCTGGCGCGTGTCCAAACCCGTTTCTGCAAAACTGACTACGCGTTCCCAAATGCCATCCGCTGTCGCTCCTCTCCGGCGTTCCGAGAGTGCATTTCACCAGCGGCGCCGAGGCAGCAGCACGGCGCAGCGGCCTCAAGGGATTACCTGCCGCCACGCGCCCCGCCATCCCCCGCCCACCAATTTGGGCGGCGCGCGCTTTTCCTCTTGCTCACCGCAGCCTCGGAAGGTCGCACTCCGCCGCCGCCTGGTGGATGGCAGGCGGCCCGGTGATCTTCTCGCCCAGGCGCGCCAGGTTCACGCTCGGAATGCGCATCCCGGCAGGTGGCGGCCGGCGACCGCGGCTGCGCCCGGCGCGGCCGCCCTGTTTGTGTCGGGCGCTGGCTCGCTTCGCCTCGGAGCGCGTGGGGCGGGGTGCCGAGGTCCGCCTAGGCAGCAGCGGATCAGCCTGATGGCAAGAGACGCCTTGCAATGAGGTCTTATACCTCTGCTGTTTTAAAGGCTGTATACAAGCCGTCGCTTGCGCGCAGGGCAAGCTATCCGATCTGCACCGCCGAGCTTGTGAACCGCGCTGAAGGGTCGGTGTTTGAAATCTTGTGTGCAACACGCTCAGAACAGAAGCCGCATAGCCCTGATCCAACACATTGGCGTGCAGATTCGTGCCAGCTTCTCAATGGTCTACGCTTCGCTTGACGCAGGCCTCTGCTGTGGCAGCGCATGCCACGGGAGGGCGCTTCCGCCGCCATTATCAGGGGGAAATGAAAATGAGAGCGGCAAGAGGGCATCATAGTCTGCCTGCTGCATGTTGTGGCCTTTGGCGGAAGGCTCAGTACATGCACAGCAGTGCAGGGCAAGCCCCCAATCGAGGGTGTGCGATGACGAGAGGGCTTGCCACGCCTGCGAAAGCGAGAAGCTCGACCGTTCCAATCCTTTTTGAGGTGCGATGTTGCCCATGCGTCTCAGGTCACATTTCAAGAGAAGCGTCAAACAGTAGTCATCACAGATGTGGAGCAAGCGGAACTCGCGACCGCGTCGAAAATCAAGACGCAGGACCTCGTTTGGCAATATGCTTAGATAGCAACTTGCAGTGCCTGGCGCTTGGCGAGGGGCGGCATCGTTTTCTGTAGCCCAGCAACCACATCGGCAGTCCCCAAGTACGCTCTTGCCCAATTTCGCTGGGCAGGAGATACAGCTTGTCTGCCTCAAGCGCGCCTCAAGCACGCAATGCAAACAAGTTTTTGATTAAGAAAGTGTTTGCCACCCTTGCAATGTCACAGTTTCATCAGGCACCAATGCTGCCCGCAGCATGGGCGGCCGCTTGCAGGCGGCGCGCACCACTGCTGGTTGACAAGCGGAGCGAGCCTTAAACCCTCATTACAGATGTTCACGACGATGCAGCAACGGCAGCCACCATCTCCTGGGCGTAATCTTAGTGCAGGACATGTGCTGGTCATGCAGCGGCATGCGGCTTCTGATGACGGTGACGTGGCGCCGAGCCTTTGATTTGGCAGGTCAACCCAAGGCGAGGACGGTGGTGTGCTCATGCAGCCGCCGTGGGCTGTGCGGCGACCACAGCGCAACAAACGTGATAACAATATAGATGCGACGCTGTGGACTCCTTGATCACTGAGGCTGAGGGACGGCGGGAAACTGCACAAGATATGATATCGGAAAAAGCGATCTGAACTGAACTTTTGCAAGCGCCCAGCGCCGACAACTACTTTTCTGACCTGCACATCAACAAACATACACGGCTGCGCAAGCTTTGCTTTTCATCTTTGCTTCTAACACCGCCGCAGACCAATCTCGTTCTCGTTGGCTTGATACGCATCGCTCCAAGCACCAGCCGCGCCGTTCCTTGCCGCCAACATGTCCATGCAGCTGTATACATCGAAGAACTGCGGCCAGGTCGCCCGTCCGGCGATCCCCGCCGCGTCCACGTCCGCGCCGCGGCAACAGCCCGCGCGCCGTCAGCGGCACGTCGCCGCGGCCGCGCAGCAGCGGGACGCGCTCGACCAGGCGCGCCAGCAGTACGCGCAGCTGCTGCCGCGGCAAGCGCGCGCCACTGCCGCCGCGGCGACGGCCGCCGGTATCGAGGCCGCGGGGGAGTCCGGTCAGAGCAGGGGCAGCTGGCCCTTGGCGGTGGCCGCCGCCGCCACTGCGGCCGTCGCCGCTGCTGCAGCTGGCCTCGTCATGCTCTCCTCCCCCTTCACCTTCGACTCTCTGCCCGACTCGCCCGCGTTCCCAAGCCTCACCGCCGGTCCTCAGGTGCGTGGGGCCGCGTGAAACACGCACAAGGCGCTTCAGGCCTGCCCCGGCCCCCCATGACCCGCGCACGCGCCGCGCCGCCCGCCACCCCAAACCGCCCCCTTGCCTCCGCCCTCCGCGGCGCCCTCCGCCCGCGACGCCCTCTGCGTCCCCGGCCCGCGCCGGCGCAACTCCCGCACCGCCCGGCGCCGCGGCGCGCCCAGCTGGCCCCCGCCGATGCCAACCGCCCCGGTCAACGCGCCGGCCGACCAACCGACCCCGGCCCCGCGGTCCCCGCCCTGCACGCGCAGACCCTGGCAGACACCGTGCCCCTGCGCTACCGCGGCCTCGATGCTGACAAGGACGGGCTCATCAGCCGCGCCGAGCTGGTGCCTCTGGAGACTGACCTGTGGCTCAAGTGGGCCGAGGGCGCCGCGCCCGCAGTGAGGGCCGAGGTCAGCCCCTTTGACCGCTACCAGGTGCGGCACGAGCGTTTTTGGGGGTATCCGAATGGAGGAGGTGTGGGCATTCGGCGCGACTGGTCGCCATCTAGGCCGGCCCGCGGGCGGCGCCGCGCTGCGGCGGCTGGCGCGCGCTTCGGCCGCGATTCAGCAGCTGGCACGCCCCCTGCGGGCGCGAGTTTGCAGGCCCACGCGCCTGCCAGCCCGTTGCCTGCCTCGAAGCTCCCTCACGCATTACATCTTGCGTCGTTGCCCCTCCTCCCCACCCCCCGAACCACAAGACAAGCCATAAGCTGTTAACCCTCGACCTGATTTCACGCCACCCCTTATCTGAACCCTGCCATGTACACTCGCACCCTCTGCCCCCGGCTGCCAGGACGGCTCCATGTCGGCCGGCCAGGCGCTGCACTACCTGGGCCTGGAGGGCTCCATCAATGCCAACGGCTGCGTCACCGCCGGCGTCTGGCAGGTGCGCGGCGCTTGGCGGCGGCGGCGGCCCGGCCGCCCGCCCCCCACCACCATGCTTTGAGCATTATGGGGGCCCTTGCATGCAGGGGTGGCCGGCGAGCAACTCCCGTCGGACGCTTGTGCCCCTCCAAAACCCTAAACCCTACACCAAATCCGTCCGCTCGGCCTCCCTGCGCCCATACCTGCGTCCTTTGTTTTGTGTATCTCATGTTTGTGAGCTTGCACGTGCAACCTGCTCCCGCCGCGTGCCCCGTTGCACTTCCAGGTGTTCGACTCCGACGGCAGCGGCGGCGTCGACAGGCGTGAGTGGTCGCGCGCGCTCGGCGACCTGGGCGCCGACGGCAACGCCGCCAAGGGCCTGGTGTTTGACCGCGTTGACCGGCTGTCAGGCTCGGGCGGCGCGCTGGAGGGGGACGGGTTCAGGATGGCGCTCTCGCAGATCCGCCGCGCCGTCGCCGGCGGCGGCGGCGCGGAGGGCGTCGTGTTTGGCGCCAAGTAGAAGCCCGCCGCGGACGGGTTCCGAAATTCGAATTTGAACCGCGCGACCCGAGACGCCCCCGACCCGCCGCGGCGGCCGTGGGCGGCCGGGGCGCGCGCTCGGGGACCGGGTTTGAAGGCGCATTTTGGTTTGGTTTTCCATGCGGGGGTTCCCCGAAAAGCGGAGCCGGCCCTTCGAGGCGCGCGGCGCGGCGGGCGCCCTGGGTGGTGTTGGTACGGTAGTCGACGCCGGAGGGCTTCCCAGGGCACACGGGCAGATAGGTTGACGACCCCAGATCAGGCACCTGCGCACGTGCCGTGGAATGTGAGCGGCGCGCACGGCGACGTGCGACGCCTTGCATCGTTCGGCTGCGAACACAAAAGCACGTTACTAGACGGCTCCTTTCATCCTTCGCGACGGCGCGCGCCAGCGGCGGTCTGCCGGGGGCGCGGCGCCGCGCGAGGGGGCGCGGCCGAGCTCAAACCTGTTTACGCCGGCCGCGCGGCAGGCTGTCTCTTGCACTGCATTCGTCGGCGGTAACCCCAATCGGGGAGGCGGGGCGCGGCACCCCGTCGCCGCCTTGCTCGGCCACTCTTGTCGCATCTGTCGGCGCGGGACGCGCGGCTTTCCTGGAC